GAAGAAAAGAGATGGAGTACTTCCCTTTGAAGATCCTTCATTAATGCGCCATTCGCTCGTTCCCCACGAAGTTCAAAAACGATCTTCTAGAAAAGTACCGGCCCATTCCAGCAAAGGGAAGGGCGTGTTCACTAGGACAGAAAGCGACTTTCGCGTTTCGCGCGCGAAACATTTTTCGCTGCGGAACTCCAGGTCCACTCATGATCAGCGGTGGACCTGAGGTTCCTGCAGCGAAAAATGTTTCGCGCTGCGAAACGCGAAAAAGTCGCTTTCTGTCCTAGTGAACCACACCCCAAGAGCAAGAGGGCACCTCGGTGTCGCATGCAAGGAAACTCCGGTGATAGTTGAAGTGGTTTTGCAAGTCCTGAGGGCTCTGCACCAGAATAACCTCCGTACTTATTTGAACTGACCCTAAATACCTTAGCTGCTGACATGCAGCACTACCAGGGGCGCAAATATATTGAATTTGGGTGCTAACTGAGTTGGGGGGACCACGCGGCGACACGGCGCTAGTAACACTATCCCACCCAGAGTTTCTCCTTTTCCTGTTTCCTCCAAAGTTACTTCAGTTCAAACATGCATAGAGCAAGATCACACTGTCTACGGCATTCCCATCCCTGCCGAGGCTTAGTCGCAGTGCTATCTCGCTTGAGAGCGCGCCAGACGAGCAGAGCGCGGCGCCGCCGCGTGGTCCCCCCAACTAAGTTAGCACCTAAATTTGCCGGTTTTCAACGAGATGTGATCGATCCATGAGTTGACAGGGAATTCATATTTGCAATCGACAAAAGGATGACAATAAGAGAGATGGTAAAACGAAAAGAGCGAACATGTGGCGTTTGTTGCGCAAAAAATGACTTTATCGACAACGTGACGACAACAGCTGTCACGCGAATCGAAACAGCAATTGATAGAACATCAAACAACACCAAAATGTTCATGAAATACTTCACTCCACGTAGCATCCAAAAAAAGCCCTTCATATCAACCTGTGAACAAACTCATCGATCAAAAAGAAGCTCAATCGATGGCAGCACAATGCGTCCATGCCGCCAAACCAATCCGACATCAGCTGATTGTACCGTATGGTGAATAAACTGTTTTCGTGACGGGACACACATTTAGAATGGATGTTGACGCGCAGCGGCGCAGCGATGCGGTTGATAATTTTGCGCCGACGCGCTGAAATTCTCGGCAATCGGCCTAGCGATGGCGGTACTAGTTTAAGACTCTTAACTCCATAAGCTCAATCAATGTTTATTTTAGTGAAAGCTATCTCTCTTTGTTCTATGCCTTCTTTTATATGTGTTGTGTTTCTGTTGCAAGCGTGTACTCATTCGTACTTGACGTAAACTTTTTTGTGGATTTTTGGGTCGCGTCGTTGAAGAGGCTTTGCTTCAACCGTTGTAAGTTTTATAGTGTTGCTGGATTTTAGGTCAGTCGACCACACTAGTCGGTGATCGACCGTGAAGCGCAGCGCCAGAATTTGCTGTCATGGCCGATACCGATAAGCTGAACTTGGATAATATTATTGCACGGTTGCTAGAAGGTAATAAAATCCTTATCAGCTGTAAAGAAGCTTAATTCGTTTCGTTAGATGGTGTGTGAGGCCTTTGTTTAGGCCCCACTATGCGTGGAAGTTGATCGTCGAGAATTACTGATTCTTTTTTTAAAAACTAAGTGGAGGCGTGGATGTGTTTCCTACATTACTTGGAGCCATTTTTTAGTCTATGTCATTCCATCGGCTTCGAAATGATCAGGGAAAGAAACAACTAGTTTCAAGTCGTGTTTTGGGCCAATTATTTATAGCGGTTCAATAATACTAATGTAGTGTTCTCTAATGAAAGAGCAGAGCGAGAAGAGTTGGACCCACTTGTTTTCATATGTACTTGAAATCCGTGATTTCGACCCACTCTTTGCTAATCATAATCTTGGTAATTTTAGTGCGAGGATCCAAGCCAGGAAAAAATGTGCAGCTAACAGAGAACGAAATCAAAGGACTTTGTATAAAGTCTCGTGAAATCTTTCTCAGTCAGCCTATACTGCTAGAGTTGGAAGCTCCACTGAAGATTTGTGGTGAGTATATTCTCTGCTTTCAGTGAAGTGTTTTTGTTTGTGATCAACTTCATTGAGACACTTTTTGGAAGAACTAATTTGAAACAAGTTAGTGGTCACAAAAGTGGGATATTAGAAGTAGAGGTGATTAGAAACCCTACTACACAAATTCATTGAAAAGCTAGTTTTCTTTACTCAGTTCAAAAAATTGAGAACCGTTGCACTACTCATGTCTTTGAAAAACTCCTGGAAGTCTTCTTTTATTGGTGGAAACGTGCGTATATTGATTTGAGAACTGTCAAAAAATCAATCGAAGTTTGACGCTGAAGGAGTGTCTCTCGATTAAAATTCATGTCGCGTTCAAATGCACCACGTGTGAATGGAAGCTAGCAAAAGCGATTAGTTTTTGTTATACTATATTCATAACTTTCGGTTATTTATTCTACAATCGTGGGCAAGACATGCAGAAGCACTTGTAATTGATAAGAGTGATGTTATATTGCAGCTTACTTTGTACAGATTTTGAATAGATTGTTTACTTGTTCGAGTTGTTAAGTTTCCAGTGACCTTACTTTTCCTTGACTCTTTCCTTGACTGTTCTATCAGTACCTGCGAATCAGTTATATTTTTTATCAGGTGACGTTCACGGGCAGTACTACGATCTTTTGAGGTTGTTCGAGTATGGTGGTTTCCCTCCGGAGTCAAACTATCTCTTTCTAGGAGATTATGTCGACAGAGGTATCTTTTCATTCTTATGAATTGTCTTTTAGGAAAAGCGGCGTATTTTTAGGGAAGCAGTCTCTTGAAACAATATGCCTCTTGCTAGCCTACAAAATCAAATATCCGGAGAACTTCTTTCTTTTACGAGGAAATCACGAGTGCGCCTCGATTAATAGGATATATGGTTTCTATGATGAATGTGAGTCTATTACAGTCACTAAGTGCTGGAAGGTTTTTCTCAGTGCTATAGTACATTAGCACACTTCCAGGCAAGCGCCGATATAACATAAAGTTGTGGAAGACGTTCACGGAGTGTTTCAACTGCCTCCCCGTTGCGGCCATAATAGATGAAAAGATATTCTGTTGTCATGGAGGATTGTCTCCTGATTTGCAATCCATGGAACAAATTCGTCGCATTATGCGCCCCACGGATGTCCCAGATCAAGGTCTTCTATGTGATCTGTTATGGTCAGATCCCGATAAGGTTCGTCTTCGCCGTGCTTGGTTGCTTTGCATTTATCTTATAACGACCTGTGAAGATAGATTTGGTATCAGACGAGTCATCGTTGCCATTCGCGAGTTTTTCGCTGCGGCTTCGTAAAATAGGGTGAAATGAGGCATTTGTCTGAGGTCTTTTTTGCAATTTTTGATCTGCTCATTTTACAGTCAGTAGACACAGGTTTTAGACTATTGCTTTTTAGGACGTCACCGGCTGGGGTGAAAATGATCGTGGCGTTTCGTTTACCTTCGGGCCAGAAGTCGTGGCAAAGTTCCTTCACAAGCACGACCTTGATCTCATTTGTCGAGCTCATCAGGTAATCCTCATTTTTTTCATTTATGCTTATTGCTCAGCTAATAAAACAGTAGGATTGAGTTTCTGTTCCAGCCTCCCAATGTTAAAGGCAATGACCATTGTTTACTTCCTGAGACCTCAAGTTTGAAGCATAAAATAAGCTCACTTGTAAAAACTGGTTCATGTTTGGCTAAGAAGAACCATAGATTCATGGCAGAAAATCCAAAATGGTCTCGAAATAAGTGTTTTCAGGTTGTTGAGGACGGGTATGAGTTCTTTGCTAAACGACAACTAGTCACCTTGTTCTCAGCACCGAATTATTGTGGAGAGTTTGACAATGCTGGGTCGATGATGACTGTCGATGAGACATTGATGTGCTCTTTCCAGGTAGGTATTTTATTCATGGTCAGTTATTCCTCCCATTGGCTACTGGTTGACCCAGCGGTTTGCCACAGTTTTACGCAGGGGAGACTCCTCGAATCAAGGTACAACACAGGGAGAGGTCGGGAACGGTCCACTTGGTCTGCAGGATAGACCTCCAGATTACAACCACGTTTGTGGATCTGTTGCGTCCTCTTTCTCACACTTCTTCCGCGCTGTGTCTTTCATCGTCTTAAAGAGACAACCCCAGATGAGGTTATGTTGAACAATCTATACTGGATCGAGGATCCAGCGGCCTGCGAGTATCACACGTGTGCCGTTACCGCTGTGCGACAATTGGACTAGGGCCTTTCAAAGTGGGCTTATAACGGCTATGGGGGCTGAAGGACGAGATCCCTCACACACACCTCATCGCACGCAACGTGGATTACGACGTAGCCGCTAATCCAAATATGCGCGGGTTGGTGAAGTTCGGTTCATGAACTACTTGATTTTCCTTCAATGGTCCTGCCGCGATGGCTAGAGCACAGACGATTAGAGAACGGGTGAATGCCCTAGGACTAAGCCTTGGAGAGGGGAGGGACCCGCGAGAGAGTGCAGAGGCTGAGTTCAATTAGTTCGTCAACCTGGTGAAGTCATGGGGCAAGCAAGTTCAGACATCGTCATCAGGCACGCTACTGCCTTATTTGAGGGAAGGGAGAGAGTCCTTGTTCAGGGGCTTCATCGATGCTTTGCATCGCCTTCAAAGGAAGTTGAAATCTCCGTGTAACCCTGTGTAACCATTTTCAATATTGGTGTGCTTGAACTACACCAGATTGATCCTCTGGTGTGCCTTCTTTCTTGTTATGTTCCTTTCCATTTTATGTTTTAATCAGTAGGACACCATCGGTCCATAGAAACATAGCGTTTTATTACCGAAAATGAAATTCCTGAAAGGTTACCGACTACTGATAAAAATATGGGAAAAGATGGGGCAGTGTATGCACAACAGCGGTCGTTGTTGGATTAAAGAAAGATTCTCTGATAAAGTCGAAGGTCGAAGAAGGGGAAACTCGCCTGTTGAACCATCTAAGGTTGCGGACTGGCAATACATTTCCCCGCGGAAAGAGGAGATACTCCCCGGCAACCTAGGCCTGGGCCCTCCCCATAGCGCCATTGGCGCTGTGCGCCCATCGACTGGTTAACCACTCGCCGCAGCTTTCTGGGTGTTCAGCAGAGAGAGCGATAGCGTTGAAGGGGGCAGCACCTATGAGAGTCGCATATATGCGAGAGTCAACGGGCAATAGGAGTTCCATTTCCCGGGTTCTGGGCCGTTTCCCATGGTTTTTTTTCACCCAGCACCAGTGATCACTTTTTCCTCAGTTCTAATGGGCTGATTTCTAATCGTAATCTTCTCGCCCTCAAGTTGCGCTGTATAGGTTTAATTGAAACCACTGTGAAAGTGGGTTGGTAAACCAGTCGGTTAAGTTAATTTATCACCCTCCCTTCACCTCCTTCCAAGCAGAAGGGCGAAATGAATCGCTAGTGGAAATAAGCCGCGCAGCGGCAACTGTGCGCAAGCAGGTTATCGAAGCACCCATGTTGTTTTCATTAGTGTAGCCAACGTTTAGTGTTCTGTGGATTTGGCGCCGTGCGTCTAATTGGTGTGCAAACTTTGACTTCATCTCGCACACGCATCGATCTACACATAAATAGATCCACGACAACTAGGGCACTGCGTACGCAGGTGTAAGAGACCACTAGAGGGTCCCTCGTTTCTTGAACCTTGAAACTATTTGGAGTGGAAGTGGATTCCTACTGAGGCTCTTACTTTATTGGGTTTCAAATGCTTTTTGTTGTCATGTTATGTTTTCACGCAAATGTAATTGTTTAGATCTTGAAACCTGCAGAAAAGAAGAAATTCCCATACGGAGGTGTGGGTACGAATAGACCTGTGACGCCTCCCAGAAATACTCCAGCAGCACAGCCAAAGAAGGGCAAAAAATGATTCATGTACATAGGAGTTAAGCGTGAGTGTGTGTGGTGCACCTAAGAGTAAGAGATTTTAAATAGGTTCTCCTGTCTCCGTATCGTCTTCCCGTTCCCCCACCCTTGTGTGATGGGCTTTGCAATTTCCCAACTTGTTATGCGGCGTTAAATACTGCGTGACTGTTTTTTTTTTCTCAGAAAGTAAATGATATTTTCTTAACGCGTCTCGTTTTAATCATGGAATTGATGGTTCGAAACCCGGATTTACATTTTGATTCGTAGCGGTAGCAGTCTTTTTACTATTAGAACACTCATCCGTATTTTCGACTATTGTCGTCATGTGCTTGTAATGAAAGTATGACCTCGTGTATAAATCGGTTTAATAGTTATGTGTTTTCGGTGTTGTTTTTGGCTGGGCAGTATTCAGTGATGTCTCTTGATGGAAGAGTTGTGTTAACTAACCGGATACGTTTATACGAAGTTATACGACGTAGTTTGGTCTCAAAACTCTTTATGCACACTTTGTTTAATTTGGTGAAATGGATTAGGATTGTGACTTGCCAGGGAAAGGCATTCAACTTCCCATGGAACTTTGAGATGCCCAGATATATCGATAGAGCTTCAAACGCTGATTACAAATATGAAACTAAAACTGCAAAATGAACTTGCCAAGGAAGTTGTGAGCAGTCAAAGTTGGCTAAAGTAAAGCACTGCACATGAACCGTGCTGCACCCCAGGCTTTTCAGAGTCGCCGCGGAGCAGTGGTGGTGCCCTCGCTCTTCACCCTGGAGGTCATAAGCTCTCTCTCGTTGGAGTGCAAGTTCCGAGAGCACTTGTCACTTAACTCATGTGGCGACTTTGAAAGCCTGGAGGCTAGTGTAATGCTTCACTTCCAGGCAACTTTGACTGCTCACAACTTCCTTGGCAGGTTCATTTTGCAGTTTTAGTTTCCATATTTGTAATCAGCGTTTGAAGCTCTGTCGATATATCTGGGTCTCATCTCAAGTCCATGGAAGTTAATGCTTCGCTAGTTAGTTCCAGAAATTTCAGTAGAGATTTATTACGGGGCAAGCGTGATTGTGTGAAATTCGGGGCTTATGGCAAAGCGCGCTGAAGTAGCGGTTGGATGCGACCCCCTGTTGTGTACATCAAACCCCACGCTTGATCCTGTTTAGGAATCTCGGCGAATGCGGCTCCGTAAAATTTTAGATTTCCACGGGGATATGCTATATTCTATTATACTAATAATTTGATCAAAAAAATGAAAATAAAACTCGGCATTCATGCACCGAGTGTGGAATTACGCGGACACTATAATATCCTGAACCCTTGAAGGAGCGAGGCGCTCTGCTTTTGGACCGCAGCAGCCAGTGAGGCTTTCCCTGGGGCTGGGGTCATCTTCGGGGTTGCGACCTCCTCCAAATTTCCTGCCAGAGCATTTCGTTCAGGTCGGTGAACGGTCTAGCTGCCGAGAGAAGCGGGAGGAGCAATGCGTTCAGGTTGATTACGTAAGCTATCGTGATGTCGTCCAGCGCAGAAGACAAAGAGGGTTCTTATTTCATTGCCTTCGGACTGTTTCGCCGCAACTGCGGTAGACCAATCCTTCGGCTTCGTCTGAATGTATCACAAGTTCAAATTGGAGTTATAAGCTTTACACGGAAAAAATGAAGCAGATGAAGTGAGCAATGCACTAGTAAGTATTAGCACTTATAACGACATAAATGGACAACAATATAGCTAAAAGACAATCGACTAGATTTGGCAAAAATGCAATAAATAAAAGGCGGTTCCGTATTTACAAATTCAAAGTGAATTCTTATTATGGTGACGAAGCGAATAAAAGTACATGTATGGCAACATGGATGAGTAGTATCGAAAAGAGAGGTTCGAAACCTGGGGTTCGAGCAAAAAGCTGTCAAAAGTAACACAAGTGAAAAAACCTCAATTAAAGGCAGTAAACACATGCTAGGGTGGAGGGTTTCTATCATGACTTTTTGGGATGGACCGTTGTTGTGGACTCGACCCATCGCGAGCTGGCGTGGTTGGGATCGTATCCCAAAATTCTTCAACAATGACGCCAAATGACGTCATCAAGCCACTTCTCTTTCCAACCATCGTGTACGCTGCCTTTAAGGTAATGAAAAAGCTGACAATATAATACTAGGTAGAGAGCAAGTACAATGCTACAAGAAAAGAAGAGTAACGCCGCTGGAAATCAAACAACCGAAGAGGGCTGCAGGGAAGGAAATTTTTTCGATTTCGAAAATGGAAGATTGTCACGCATGCGGTTGCGCCGCGGCGTCATGAGAAAATCCCATAAGTGTGACGTGCGAAGATTATCGACGCCATGATCGCCAGAGCAGCTGTCTCATAGAGCGTTAACCGGATAGCAAGAAATCAAATTTGAATTTCACTCAAAATATTAGAGAGACGGAGATGGCCGTGTCCCACATTGATTGAGCTGAATGGGTCTTGCTCAGACTCAATAATTGAAGTACGGGGATAAAACTGACAGCGATCATGGTGGGCTACAGCTCCCATGAGCTAACATTTAAAAAGGGAAAAGCGACTAATTAGAGGTTTCGAATACACCTGTAGACTATGTCCATACGAGATGATATGTAGTATATACATGAAATGGAAAACTGTTTTGTAGCAGAGAAGCAAACAATGTTTTTATATGCGGGAGGCGCCATAAAATATGGTAACAAAATATTTATGGCGCAGGACGTTGATTAAAACAAAACATAATGGAACTCCGCCGTAATATTCGTCACAGCAACAGAAGGCTGCAAGATTATTAGATCTGGTCGCTTTCGGCAGGAGTGCAGCGATTTCGGTAATACTTTGAACGTTGGCACGCACGGCCTATTTTTTGTGGAGGAGTGCCCAGAGCCTAAGGCCGATGTCAGACTTTGCGAATCGCGCGATTCGCTAGCGTCTGCGGTCGCGTCGCGGCCAGTGAATCACTCAATTGGCTGGTACCGCAACGCGACCGGACGCTAGCGAATCGCGCGATTCGCAAAGTCTGACATCGGCCTACGGAGGTCGACGCCAGAAACGTGGTGAGCTTTGCCTCCGAGAATTCATGCAATCATGATAGATGTATAGATCGTTTCTCGTATCCCCTTCCCCTATTTGGGACGATTTCGGCTGCAATTTGTGTTACATTACGAACAGCGCTCATTCTTGCCGAAAAGCTTCGGGATCGGTTGAGAGGTCCGTTTCAGGGATTTCTAGAGAATGTCTTACTCGGGGCAAAAATCATGGTAAGGGTACAGCTCGCACGTCTGATATGGCTGGAGTACGGCTGGCAAATAAAATTGATTAAACTGGTGTGCCGCACCTATTTCTGAATATTCTGGATTCTTGACCAAAACCGTTTGGCCGTACCGCCCAGTGATAGAATATTGAGCGTTTAATGGCACTATGTGACTCTCTAAGGACGTCACGTGACGAGAGCTGGCCCGCGCAAATCTCTTAAATGAATCCTAGGTGATCCCAAGCACACTTGAAGCTTCCATGAGCTACTGATGGTGTCAAAGGCAACCGCATCTCGTTACCTTGCAGCCAGTCTGTTGGAGTGGATTGTAAACATCTGCAGAATTTTCTCACATTTATGTTCAAACGGACCTTATGCCATGAATACTTTGTAACCATGCTAAATTGTGCTGCTATTTAAGGGTTGAGGTTTTAGGTATTTTCCTGATTATTTTGTTAATTGTGCCATATTAACACGTTGGCGACCAAGCGGATTTTGGGGTGTCTGCCGCTTGGGACCACGAAAAACCAGCAAGTTTTTTTATCGCAAAAGCTAATGAATATAGCAAACTCAATGCGCTGATTACGAATATGGTAATGGTTTGGGGCGCTCGCGCCATCGGGCGCCAGTCTGGCGCCACGTTGGCGCCACGAATACTTTTCATGTCAGATTCGGCGAAAAGCTGTAAGAAGGGGATATTCTCTGCCGTGAACACGAATACGGCCCTGGTGACGAATATGACAACTTGTGGCGCCAAATTGGCGCCATTTTGGCGCCACAATTTGCATACTAGCTTTGGTAAGGGCCCATATTATAAGAATGTCAAAATAATTATAATATTCCATATACTATTGTATATTCTCATATTTAATTTTCTCAAGTTCCAGTAAAATACTCCCATGAGGAATCATACTTTTACACTTGTGTAGAAGCAGTGAGTTTTCCGACGCGATCTACAGCCTATCGATAACAGGTCGGCAAACAAATCTCTACTGCGATGGTCTCCTGCAATAGTGACTTAGACGATGTGGACGACGCCTTCAATGATCTTCTTATCGAAAGTGAGGACGACGATCCTATGGTGGATGATGATGAACCATCAGAGGCACTAGTTATTACGGAAGACGAATCCGATGAAGAAGACGACTCTGGAGATGAAAGCGGGAGTGACGACGGAAGCGTTGAGCTGTGGACCGAGGGAGCTGTCGCTCACGACCGATTCACCTTTGACGAAGAATGCGGACCACATCTCGATGTTGCCGAGCTCGAATCACCTATTGAATATTACAGGCTGTTTTTCAATGACGAGCTGCTGGATCTCTTGGTCGCCGAGACTAACGACTACGGCGGTAAAAAGATGGCAAAAAAGGCAAAAAAATGGACAACCACCACTTCCGATGAATTCAAGCAGTTCATCGGTATTTGCTTATACATGGGAATCGTCCGATTACCGAAGATACGAGACTATTGGTCTACCAAGCCTATTTTTGGGAATTCTGTGGTTTCCAAAATTATGGTCAGGAATCGCTTCGAAGAATTACTTACCTCGATCCATTTCACCGACAACGACAGTGCGGACAAAAATAATCGCCTATATAAAATCCAACCTATCCTGGATCATCTAAACGCAACGTTCCAGAAGATGTTCAAACCTGACAAAGTGCTGTGTATCGATGAATCCATTGTACCCTTTCGAGGTCGAGTCTTATTCCGACAATTCAACAAAGCGAAAAGATTCAAGTATGGACTGAAAGTTT